TTCGTGCCCCGGTCTGGGAAGATCCCACATGCCGCGGAGCAGCTAGGCCCGTGAGCCATGGCCGCTGAGCCAGTGCGTCCAGAGCCTGTGCTTCACAACGGGAGAGGCCACAACAGTGAGAGGCCCGTGTACCGCAAAAAAAAAAAAAAAAAAAAAAAAAAGAATATATTCATCCATGGGACTTTGCTGGGGGCGCAGTGGATAAGAATCCACCTGCCAATGCAGGGGACACGGGTTCAATCCCTGGTCCGGGAAGATCCCACGTGCTGTGGAGCAACTAAGCCTGTGCACCACAACTACTGAGCCTGTGCTCTAGAGCCCGTGAACCACAACTACTGAGCCCATGTGCCACAACTACTGAAGCCCGTGTGCCTAGAGCCTGTGCTCCACAACAAGAGAAGCCACTGCAATGAGAAGCCCAAGAGCCGCAACAAAAAGTAGCCCCCACTCGCCGCATCTAGAGAAAGCCCGCGCACAGCAATGAAGACCCAACGCGGCCAAAAATAAATAAATAAATAAATAAGAATATATACATCCACATGTAATCAGTGGTAAATGAATTTCATTTTATCACCTCTTTAATGTCAATCCACACTCTCATCAGACCTCGGGCAGCAGTGACATACTGTACCAGGAAAATACATCTGCAATGATGCATTTGAAATTAATGAATTATTAGAAAAGGAAAGAAACAAACAAACAAAACTGCACTATGTTTCTGCAAGGTCAGCTTTATTTCTGAAGCTTCTAAAACATTTTTCCTGCAAATTGTACAAAATGTGCATCATTCTTTTTCTTATAGAAATAAACATTTAAGCACCATGAATACTGGGGAAATAACTTACAGAAGCTGTGGAAGGCCCTCAACGACCATTATAAATAGTGGCTTATATCATATCTGCATGTTTATGCCCTTCCAAATCTAATATTTGTATGTGGTTTTACTATAGGAGAAGTTGCCAAATAATTTCTTTTAACTGAGTTAACTTGAATTCATCCTTTTTATAAGGTAAAATTAGTCCCAGCTTTAGTTTTTGGTTTTTGTGGCAGATCTTTGGTGAGTAGAGGTACTAATAAGTAGGTATGTAGCGGATAACACACAATCCTGCCAGATCCAGGAGACAGACAGACGGGAAAAAGGGGCTTAAAAACCACAACAAGATGTGACCTGTTTTCATTTGGTATCTGGCTGCCAATCTACTGTTTCCCTAAACCTAACTGTGCAAATGTTCAGCCCCCGAGTTGCTTCCACTTCAAATCACTTACTTCAAGTTTTCTCTGCTGAATTTCATAAATGATTTGTCTTCCTGCTTTGTTGAGAGCTGCTCTGTTCCAGATTCTTGATGGATTTAACCCTCACAGTGCTTGGGGGCTTCACCAAAACAGGGGTCACCCTTCCCCCTGAAGTTAGTATCTCTGACGGAGTCTACTGTCATAACCTATTGAGAGGTTATCCTCTGCACCGATGTTTTTCTTTTCTTTTTTCCTCTTTCTACCCCTGTAGGCTCATCAGGAAAACAATGGGAAGAGTTTCCCCTTCCAAAGTGTTGAACCAGGATACTATACTTCTAAGACTGGGCTTCATTAGCCTCCAGATGAGGTCAGCAAGATCTCCTTGGATCCTGGTGTCTGGGGCTCCCCTCTCTGAAAGGTCAAGGTCTTCCTGGTGGGTAGTCAAGCTTCCAATGTCTAAGAAAAGAGACAGAGTGAAGAATCTGTGCCCAGAGCTGGGAGGTTCGGGTTGGGGTTGGAGAAACAGAAGGCGGGGCTATAAAGGGAGAGAGCTGACCTTGGAAGAGGTTGACTCATCCTTGTGAGGGTTTCAGGATCAAGTGTGAAGCCAAACTTGGCATGGCTCGAGTCACTGGCATCTCCCACTAAGGATCCTCTTCTTGGCCTGGGTCTTGCAGGCCTGAGCAAGGACCAGAGGCAGCCCCCGTCAATCAAGGACCAGGCCCTCCATGGTGGGGGGCTCAGGAGGCACAGCCTCAGGCTCCCTGTGTTCATAGAAAGAGCCCCTACATTGACCTCCACTGAACTGCCGGCCAATCTCAGGAGGCGAGTTCCTGAGCAAATTTCATTTTATCCTGTGCTCGGGATGCTTGGTTTTTTGTTTGTTTTTATTTTGCTTTTCATTTAGACAAAATGTGCCCAAGTCCAAAATTTCTTTTTTATCTTAATTTCCACGCAGGACCCTTAGGCCTGTCCGTCCTCCCATGTTCCCATCAGTGGCAACACAATTTACCCAGCTCAGCCGAGAAACCCTTTGTCTCACTCTCCTATCCAGCCCACTAGCAAATGTTCTCCCCTCTGTCTTCAAAATACATCCAGAATCTCCCTCCTTCAGGTCACCTGGCCCTCCGAGGTCTCTGCCCTGGGGCGCTGCAGAGCTTCCTGTGTGGTCACCTGCTCTGCACCTGCCTCTTCCAGTCACTTGTCCACAGAACCAGAGGGACCCTTGTTACAGTACATCAGATCCCGCCACACCCTTGCTCACTGCCCCACCCCACCCCCCACACCATGACTTTCTGTGTGATGGGCTGGATGGTGGACCCCAAAGATATCCAGGTTCTAATCCCTGGGGCCTGTGGATGTGACCTTACAGGGCAACAGGAACTTTGCAGGTGTGATTAAGATAAAGATTTAGAGATGGGGGGATTATCCTGGTGGGCCCCACGTGTAATCACAAGAGTCCTGATAAGAGAGAAGCAGAGACAGATGTGATGACAGAAAAGAGATTTGAAGATGCTACACTGTTGGCTTCGAAGATGAAGGAAGAGACCATGAACCAAGGGATGCAAGAAATACAGCTCTTGAAGCTGGAATAGGTAAGAAAAAGGATTCTCCCCCAGAGCCTCCGGGTGCACATGGCTCTGCCCACACCTTGACTCCAGCCCAGTGAAACATGTTTTTTGTTTGTTTTGTTTGTTTGTTTGTTTTTTGTTTTTTTGCGGTACACGGGCCTCTCACTGTTGTGGCCTCTCCCGTTGCGGAGCAACAGGCTCCGGACACGCAGGCTCAGCGGCCATGGCTCTCGGGCCCAGGCGCTCCGCGGCACGTGGGATCTGCCCGGACCGGGGCACGAAGCCGCGTCCCCTGCATCGGCAGGCGGACTCCCAACCACTGCGCCACCAGGGAAGCCCTGAAACTGATTTTTGATCTCAGCCCCCAGAACTTAAGGAGAGTAAATGCTATATTAAGCTACAGTGTGTGTGGTAATTGGTTATAGCAGGAGTAGGAAGCTAATACATACCCCCACTCCCCGACTTAGAATTTAAAATCCTTACCGGGCTTTGAGGCCCTCTTCCTCCAGGCCTTTGCCCTTCTCCGACCTCCCTGTCTACACTCTCTCCCTGGCTCAGCACTGGCTAGTTACACCAACATGCTAAACACACTCCCCTGTATTCAAGTTTGCCAAAGATACTAATTACCATGAAGTTCCCAGGACAGGACTGAAAGGAGTGTGGATGGTGATTCTCAGGCCTTTGCCTTGGGCCCCAAATACCAGCAACTACTGGATTTCCTGTCCGGAACAAAATTACACCCTAGACCAATGTTGCCAGACACCCAGGGCAGGAGATGACCCATACTGGCCCCCGCCTGGTTGTGCCACATGGGCTAGGCAGCAGGTGGGCCCCCGAGCCAGCAATGGAAATCACGAATTACCAAAACTTCAGAGTACTTTCTGGAAATGAAGTTTCCTCCCCAGGAAGCAAGGTGTTTGGATCTTGACTGGGATACGCTATTGGCACGCTCCAAGGATGGTGGTCGCAGGAAGGTACTGACCGACAGATGTCCTTAAGGGCTCAGGCTTAAGGGGACATTAATGGGGACATTCCCAGTCCTAATGCCCAGTCTTGGGTGACTGCAGCAAAGATCTCAAGGCCTCCAAAGTAAGGGTTTGGGCGGCCAAGAACAGGAGCTGTACAAGGCCATATACGGTGATGGGCTGCCCCCTGATCCCGAGGGTCCTAGACTCAGGCCACGTGGCAAGGGCACCCTGAGGGATGTGCTTTGTTCGCCCAAGTGAGTCTGAGCCCCACTCACAGCCTCTTCCAACTGCGGAAGCTGATGGAGACCCGGAGGAGGGAAAGGGAAGGGGAAGGTGGGGTAGAATACAGGATGGTCATGGCGCCAGGCAAGGCCTGTGTGCAGCGGCGCATTGCTGGCCCAGCGGGTCACAGCTCATACTGCTGGCCCGCAGATCTCAGGGCCTTACCCGCAGGCCTGTGGAAGTGGCGGCCAGGGTCCGGGGACCCTCTTCTACCACCAAAAAGACAAGCCGCTCGGCCTGTCGTGAAGGACCCAGAAAATTGTGACCTGGAGTTCACCCAGTGGAGCTGTGCTCAGGGCGAAGGGACTAGAAAGAGCGCCTGAGGCGGCCCCATGAGAAGAACCTACCGCCGATGATGCGAACACTGCAGTGTGGCTGGGAGGGGGCCTCCAGACACAAAAAAGGGACAGGAGAAGGAGGCAGCGCAGGGCCCCTCTTCAATCAGGGACCACCCGCTTCACTCTCCATCCTCGCCGCCACCGCCAGACCACGGGCAGAGGCAGAGGCGTGCTCATCCGCCAGCAGGGACCTGGCCATGGAAGCCCCCTACTCTTGCACTGCCACTCCCCTGCGGCAGGGCTAACTCCTCTGCAGAGACGCAGGCTGGGAGGAAGGAGACCTCAGGCATAGGCACGGCCCGCCTTCTCCTGGGAGAGAGCCGGTGATCCAGGAAGAGGCGCATGGGCTTGAGATGCTGCTGAGCTCCCGCCTTCTGGGACTGCCCGCCAGCCAAGGCCGGCAGCGCCCCCTGCTGCCCGTATTGAGCTGTGCACACTCAGGGAGTACGGAGGAGAGACGTGCAGCAGCGAGCGGGGAGCGGAAGTTCTGGGGTGGAGGCTGACATTCTGGAGGACGGGAGGTGACCTGGGCAGGAAAGGGGGCTCAGCAGGAGGCCAGCCCTGGTCTGATGAGACAGTCCCGTTGTCCTCAGTCGTAAGAGAGTTCCGAGAGCTTAGCAGAAGTCCGGCTGAGGCCGTGCTCCCTGGGGTTAGAAAGGATGGGATTGGTGAGAATGCAGTTGTGAATTGGGGTCGAGGGGTTGTGGTTGGTCGACTGGCGAGGTTGACCCCCAAGATTCCCACCACCACCCCTGGGGAACAAGCCCCTCCCTTGAGTGTGGGCAGGCCCTGTGACTGTGACGGGCTATCACCCCCATGAAGATATCACCTTATATGGGAAAAGGGATTTCACAGTTAGAACGCAGTACCCGACTCAGTTGACTTTGAGTTAATCCAAAGGAAGATGCTCCCGGGTGGGCCTGACCTAATCAGGCGAGTCATCAAAGGAGAGCAGAGCCGTAGCACGGTTCTCCTGCTGGCCGGGAAGAGGCAAGCTGTGAGAGGAGGGCCGTGTGCCAGGCACCTGGGGGCAGCTTCTAGAAGCTGAGAGCAGTCCCTGGCCAACAGCCAGCTAGAAAAGGGGCTGTCAGTTCTATAGCTGCAAGGAAATGACTTCTGCTAACAACTGCGTGAGTTTGAAAGAGGACTCCGAGCCTCAGGTGAGATCGCAGCCCTGGCTAACACCTTGACTCCGAGGGGGTCTCACCTGGGGAGAGACCCTGAGCAGAGGATGCAGCCATCACAGACCTGGATCCTGGCCCACCAAAACTGTGAGATGATAAATGTGTTCTCTGAAACTTCCAAGTTGGTGGTAATTCTTGAGCAGTGATAGAAAACTAATACAGAGGTGTAAGGTGTAACCTCAGAAGGGAGGTGTGGCATCTTCATCGGGCCAGACTCAGCGCCGCATGGCCTGTCCAAGGCCAGCTCCTCTGGGGCAGCCTGTGTGGCCCTGTGAGCTGTCAGCCCCCAATGAACCTGATATCTCCTCAGGCCATCCCTTTACTGCACGCTGCAGGCCATGTGGACTCAAACACTGATCTCTCCTCTCCCCTTTAATGCGGCGTTTATAAATATATTTTAATAGTTACATTAAGCTCTTTCCTAAGCAATTTTGCAACAAGATACAGCCTTGAATTTGGGTGGGTTTTTTTTCAAGGATACGATACTCTTAGTACAAAGCATTGTTATAAAATGTGCGGGGCTTCCCTGGTGGCGCAGTGGCTGAGAGTCCGCCTGCCGATGCAGGGCACATGGGTTCGTGCCCCGGTCCAGGAGGATCCCACATGCCGCGGAGCGGCTGAGCCTGTGATCCATGGCCACTAAGCCTGTGCTCTGCAATGGGAGACGCCACAACAGTGAGAGGCCCGCGTACCACAAAATAAATAAATAAATTAATTAATTAAAAATAAAATGTGCAAGTAAGGTTACTATGATTTTAAAAATCAGGCTGCCCATGATTATCAGAACCAGTGGAAGAGTAGAAGCCCAGATAGTGCCACACATAGGTCACTGCACTATTGTCATGTTTCACTCAAGGAGTGAAATACTTCCTCAGGAAGTATTTATTCAGCATCCAGATGTGCCAGGCACTGTTGGCACAGCTGGAGTTGAGGTGATGGAGACCAACACAGAGCCCACTCTCACAGAGCTTAGTAAGAGGAACTAGACAATAAACATGCAATTAAATAAATTAAATAACTTCAGATAGTGAGAGATGCCATGAAGATGCATTCATTTCCTATGGCTGCTGGTAGCAAATTACCACAAATGCAGGGCCTTGAAACCACATAAGTTTATTATCTTACAGTTCTAGAAATCAGGTTTCTAAAATCAAGGTGTCCTCAGAACTGCATTCATCCCGGAGGCTCTAGGGGAGAATCCTCGCCTCTTTTAGCTTCCAGAAGCCACCTGTGTTCCCTGGCTCATGACCCCTTCCTTGCGCACCAGGCATTTGCTTCTGTCATCTGTTACTTTTCTTGTTTTTTTTTTTCAGTATGCGGGCCCCTCACCACCGCGGAGCACAGGCTCCGGACGCGCAGGCCCAGCGGCCATAGCCCACGGGCCCAGCCGCTCCGCAGCATGTGGGATCCCCCCAGACCAGGGCACGAACCCACACCCCCTGCATTGGCAGGCAGACTCCCAACCACTGCGCCACCAGGGAAGCCCTGTCATCTGTTTTAATCACCTCCCCTTCACCCTCTTCATGAAGGAGGGATTCCTACCCCAGAGTTATAGGGATGGATGAACACGCAACACCCAACACAGGACAGATGAGATAAAAAGCAGCTTATTAGTCACACACACTCACAGCCCGGGAGAGGGGGACACTGCATACCATGCAGGGGCACATGGGGGTTACACTCAGAACAGAGTGAACAAGCAGGGCGGTGGAAGGCAGGCTCTGTAGTAACAAGAGGGTGGGATGGCCCCTGGTTCCCACGGGAGAGTGTGACCGGCTTGTCTGAGTAATTCTACCAGCCGGGAGGGAACGGAAACCCACTACTCAGGGGTAAAGCAGGAGCTGAGCCTGGTCTGTTTGATAAGGGGTGGGGGGGCTGGGTGTTTAGCTGGGGGACCTTATCCACAGGAACAGAGTGGGGAGGGAAACTTGCTGTTGGGCCATAAGAGGGCCTCCAATTTCACCAGATGTCGAGACCACATAATCTCGAGTCTCATTTTATGTCTTACACCACATGGTCACATCTATTTTCAGGAGGTGGTGAGTCAAAATTTCAACCTGTATTAGTCTGACGCCAGATCTGTGGTTCTAACCACTTCACTGCTCATCCCTCTTGCACTGTGAACCGTGGCAGCCAGTGTGCAAAGATGGCCCCCAAGGAGCCACACCTGCCAGCAGCAGTGCCCTGGTGACGTCTGCTCCCACACTGAGTCTGCATTGCCTCTAAGACTTGACTAGACCAACAGAACATGCTGAAAGTGACACTGTGCCTTTTCTGATCCTAAGAGGGCTTGGCAGCCTCTGCTTCTGCCCTCTTGGCAGCCAGCTGCTGTGTAAGAAGACCAACTACCTCTTGTGGAGAGAGGCCACACAGAGAGACCCTAGAGGGTAAGATCCCTCCGTGGAGACAAAGGCCACAGGGAGGAGCACCAAGATGGCCGAGACATCATCTTGGAATGTTCTAGCAAAATAGAGCCCTCAGAGACTGTACTGCTAGCCAACCTCATGGAGCAGAAGAGCTGCCAGCTCACAGCAGCCAATCCACAGTCCAGTGTGAGAGAATACAATGGTGGTTGTTTTAAGTCACTAAGTTTTGGGGTGATTTTTTACTTCTGCATAATTAAAATTCCAGTTTATATCTTCTCTTAGCTAACTTTATATCAGTACCTTTAGTGAAGCATAAATACTTTAGACCAGTACTGTAGTAAGGAGTACGACCTAATTCTCTCTGTGTGAGAAGAACACTTGGGTGAATATACTCATATATCAATAAAAAAGGGTGAAGAGGGCTTCCCTGGTGGCGCAGTGGCTGAGAGTCCGCCTGCCGATGCGGGGGACGCGGATTCGTGCCCCGGTCCGGGAGGATCCCACGTGCCGCGGAGCGCCTGGGCCCGTGAGCCGTGGCCGCTGAGCCTGCGCGTCCGGAGCCTGTGCTCCGCAGAGGGAGAGGCCGCAACAGTGAGAGGCCCGCGTACCGCAAACAAACAAACAAAACAAAACAAAACAAAAGGGTGGAGAAGGGCCTCTAGCTGGATGGCATTTTTTATCATATATATTCACTTCTGTGGATATTTTTATAAAGGTGTCCAGTGACTGCTTGCTCACTCTTTGCATATTTCCCATGTTTTAAAAAATACATTCTGTCCTAATGTTTGATTATTCTGAAGCCTTTCAAGAGAGAGTTACCTCATAGATGTCCTTCCAGAAAACACCAAATCGTGAGTTAAACCGATTAGCTAACCTAGACCAGAGGCGATGAGTTAGGCTCTTTGTATGCCTCCGAAGAAAGATGGTCTGTGGTTCTAGATGGTGCTGTCATTGTGCAGTCCCTGGCCTAAAAACATTCTAAAAGCCAGAGTAAGCGTCTCTAAATTTTTTTCAGATGCTAAAGCTGCTGGTCATCAGTGGTCCTCTCACCTCTTACATGGTTTGTGATGCAGTGGAGTTTTAAGGCCAAGCATTGTATTAAACTGCATAGGACCTGCTCAGTTTCATCTCATCACTGACTCAGGTCCTCTCATGGGCAGGGGAGAGCCTGGGATACGCTACCCCTGCCCCATCATTTAATCCCTCCAAGAAAGATATTGAGGGCTGACCCGCTGATGTGTGTTTATGTCTCGCACCATCAGAGATGTGCTTTCCTTCTTTCAGAAAGAAGTCTTGACATATGCTTATGTGGGTCAGGCCCTTGTTCCCTGAACACTTTTCCACCCAGCCCTCTCTCA